AGACACATCATCACCACCACCATTCAATGTCTAAAGCTCCCTTATGATTTATTTTTAGAACCCATATTCATATACTTTTTCACCCGTATAATTATAATCTACAAGGGTTTATAGCATGCTAGACTATAATTATTTTAAAATTAGTTAATAGTAATCGTAATGTTCTCTTAACTACTAATTACTTTCCCAGTTTGCTCTGTATATTTGACTATAATTATTTATCACAAAAGAAAAAATACTATTTTTGTCAGCGTAAATGTATATTTTACATTTAATTGGGTCTATTTTAGGTATGTACATTTAGAAATATATTCCTGATTTCCCTTTTATATCTCTATTTACCATATCTAGCCGTAACTAGTGTTTTAATGACGATATATTGAAATACCTACCATTGGAAATATTTTTATGTATTATGTATCGGGTGGTCCACCATAAGTATCCTATTTTCTTCATAAATTTTAGAGATTTAAAAAGATATGTACCTAAGAATAAATGTTTTAATAATATATTAAGCATTAAGAACGGTAAGGGTAAATTACCGTTCGAAGACAATGTTTGGAGGCTGAGCGAAGCGAAGCCTCCAATTTTGTCTGAGAACGGTATAACTCTTAACGTTCGTGATGCTTATACTATTTTTTGCACGATCGCAATAAATGAAAACGAAATTATATATACGTATTTAATTTTTTATGTAACGTCAAAAATGACGTTTCTGAATAAATTTGCGAAGCAGGTTTTTTGAAATCTACTGATGTTTATTGTTGTCACGGCTTTCTTAATTGACGAAATTGACAGTTCTAGAATAGAATAGAAATTGAAAAAACATGTACTGCTCCAATTTCTGTAAGCAATTGTACAAACTGTACATTTAATTTCAACATTAATAAATAGATTTAAAATACATCTTTCTTTTATATCAATTACCCACATTTAAAACTGAATTCTAGAAAACTCATTCCAAATCAATGCGATGTTGAAAATGTCTATTTTGACAGTTATTCACTTACCGTTCTAGAACGGTAAGTGAATTACTTACCGTTTTGTTAGCCTTAGCAACCAGTAAGCGCATCCTACTGTCGTAGAAACAAACATAGTAAGTGAACTAAAAAAGCTTGATCGTGCAAAAAAATATTTTTAAATTTGTGTTTTTCTATGTGGTAGAAACAATTGAATGTGATACTAATGTCGGTTTACGATATGTTTGCAATGACCTCACATTTAGTAAGTAAGTGCTGTCGATAAAATAAACCTAAATTCTTGTTTTGTATAACGTTGGCCAGCCATTGAACGAGAATCATAAAAATTAATCTACCGACAAATGACAAGCATTTGACGATTTCGTTACTTTCGATAGCAGCTCCGTGTGATTTTTGTGTATTGAAATCGATTGAAAACGTATAAAAAATTCTTTTCACAAGTATTCAATTATAATGGTGTGTAGCGAAAAGCATTAACTTGCCTAAACCTTTATCGAGTCGCGCCCAAGAAACGGTGGGATACTTAACAAATTGATGAATTAACTGTTAATTGTTTAGGAACGAGCAAACAGAAGGTCATTTCTTCCACTTACCACTGTAGGAAACGTAAATTATAATTGTTATATCCACTATGAACTGTATTTTAAATATTTAAATTTTATGTCAAAATTGTTAGGTTATGTTTGATAAAATTGCGAATCTTATTGTCTGTTAATATTCTTTGTTTCAGAGAGTTGCAGAGACTTTATATCCAAATATATCAATATCAGTCAATCATGTTACGGCTAAACATAACAAAGATGAAGCATCTAAAAGTCTGCAAAAAAACTTGTGAAAACTAATCTTAGATGTTGATGATTGATGTTGAAGACTATAATTTAGAATGTTATTTATGAAATGTATAAAGACTTCGTTGAAATCTTACTAAAATATCGATCTTAAGTTAAAATTATTCATTTTAGTTGACACTAGCGACGGTAAAGTTGCAGATAAATAAATACCTATACTTAAAAATATTATATTGTTATTTTCATAATTCACCAAACGTAAACAAATAAATGTTGAAAACATATTGTTTTATATTCTCTACTGTTATTTTCTTACATTTAAATAAAAACACTTGAAGCACTCTAGAAAATATTGACTGCAGTAATCCTGTTGCCTAATTCTAAATCAATTAATTTCCTTTATACTGAAAAAAATTACAATCTGGCAACTGTATCATTTCGCACTGTAACGTCATTGCAAACTTACTTCGACTGTACCAAGAAATAACACCAAACTACATTTTTTTCACATCCTGTACATTTTAGGTAGATATTGGGTTGGGGAATGAGAAATGTCGGTTTTTTATTTCAAATTATGTTTATCTGTAAAATAATAATAAATAGGCTAATCAGTGATGTATTCTCAATCGTTATTTATGACTTCCCAACGTTTAACAAGTTTCTCGATACCCCTTCTGTAAAAATCCTCCGATTTTAACTCGAAAAACTAATCTAATAAGCTCTTAACTCACTGTTGTTGTTATAAACATCTCGTACGGAGTTTGACAAAGAAGTAAAGGTCAGATGGTACCTACCAATTCAACTTCTGAATGGTGGTGATATGTGGTAGCACATTGTCATGTTGCAAAAGAACGTCCTGTCGCCGATCAGGTCCCTTTGTTGAATAGCCGCGTGGAGTCACCTTAGTTGTTGGCCATAGAGTTCTGCGTTGACGGTTGGTTGTTTGGTAAGAGTTCGTAATAAAGAATCCCTTTTCAATCCCACCAGATGTATAACATTGTCTAGATGTATAACCATTTCATCTGTTTCAAGTTCACGTATAGACACCATTTTTCATCACTAGTGACAATACGATGAAGAAAAGGTTCCTTATAACCACGTGTTGATTCATGACGACAGAGCAAACTAGCGTCAATTGCGGAGCATTGATTCTTATTATTTTCGTTCAAAACATGTGGGACCCAAGCGTCGAGTCTTCAAACTTTTCCCATCGAATGCAGGTGGTTTACTATTTTGTGATCACATTCCATCTCTTGAGCCAATTCCCTTGCTGATTATATTGGATTTTCGTGAAGGAGTCTATTCAATTGCTCTTCATCAAATTCACCAGGGCGTCCAGAACGGTTAATGTCTTTAAAGTTGAAATCAACTTCTTTAAAAGCGCAAACCATCCAGGGGTCATTGGTTAATTCAGCGCATCATCACGATATACATACAGCACAAATTTCCCGAGCAGTTTGAGCGGCTTTAGCGTTTTCCCCGTCTCGATTAAAAACAAACAAGAAGCAAGAGCCGAAAATGATCAATTTTATCAACTTGACATTCTATTTCAAATTAATGAAAATTCATCTAACGAAGCAACCAAAAACACAGTAAAGTTTGCTATGTCTCTCTCTAATAACAAAGGTGATGTAGTCAAAGTATATAACGTAAATGTAATACATCACGCAGACTTGCTTGCAAAACAACTTTTCTCTCTAGCACATTAAGGCAAATTTATTTTATTTATATTTCTCGTACTAATAGAGATAGGTCAGTCAAATCTTATATCTCTGTAAGCCTAAGATGGTGTTCTATCTGAATATACTGTATGATAAAAAATATATATTAATTCTCTGCTGGTAGTTGTTTTCGCAAACATAAGGATTAAATATTTTAAAAGTTTCCTACATCTTACTAATTGTAAGTTCAAAACTGATCTTAATCCATGATATTGATAGTTAAAACTTATGTATACCTTTTCACTTTTTTTGTTCGTCGAAATATAAAGGAGAAAATAGGGATGTTGGACCATTTGGTACCTATTAACAAGGTGTTCTCAAAAAAGACCTTTAATTTTTAATAATTTGAATGAAATATTGATTGTGAAACATACTTCGCATGAAAATTAACACAGCATCGAGAAGATGCAATTTCTAAATTGATTTGACATTTTTGTTTTGGTTTTAGGTTTTAGGTTTACTACTCTGTTTATTGAAATTCCAATTTCCTCCGAAATTTGAACGATGCTGTAGGATGCGCCAGCTAAATAACAAATTTCACTTAAATTCTTTTTTCTGAACAATTTTCTGAATCACAGCATTATCTTTGTGACTAATTACCCAGATAATTTGAAGTGAGTCAGTTTATTATAAGAATTTAAAAACATAGAAATAACAATAGACAATAGAAAAATCCACTAATTTTTATTACAATATAGATAGAGATTAGAAACATCAACCCCTACATCTCTGCCTTGATACTGAGGAAATGCTCAGAGAAATTTAAAATGACATTGATCAAGGATGGATCAATGTCGAATGCATCAATTATTATTAGAAATATTAATTTATTTTCTCCTTTGCTTTTATTCTTATGTTTATACATTTTTGCGATGTACTGGTATATTTTTCTTATCAGGGTACCTCAATTTTCAAAATTTTTATTATCAAATTGACTTAAAATAAAATGTGACAATTCGAGTTCTTTATATCTTAGAGTGGAAATTGGGAAATTAAAATAGTCATGTTATTTAATGGAATAGCAAACAATATGGGACATGAAAACAAGATAAAAAGAAAATTAGAAGAGTAGGTATTTTAAATAATTCCTAACACATTGTAGTTATGAATATTCTTTTTTTTTTCGTTTTAAATTTCGGAGAACAAATACCTAAATGAAAATAAGTAGTCAAAACAACTGCGAGAAACGTAATGCGTTTTGATGTGAAGTGTATTTACATTAGCGCACATTTTGTAAGTACCATTAAAATAAGTGTGGAGGGCTTCGCCAAATGAATTACGTAAAAGAATATGTTCGTCATTCTTTGATGTAATAGTTACGTAGACATTTAAATATGTAATAAAAGAATATTTCTTTTTTAGGATAAGGATGGGTAATATTTTTTAAACACTCCGTATATTTATATTTCTTTTTTAAAATTTCACCATTATTATAATGTCTACTTTCCTAAATACATATGTGTATTAAACAATTAATTACCTACTTCTCTTTATCAAATACTTTTTTCTACTTAACTAAATAATTCATTTTCTTTAATGTACATCTCCGACTTTGCTTTAGACATGCTACTAAATGGATCTACTTGTTTATAAATTTCTGGACTCGACCTAGGTTTTATCCCATCATGTTTACGAATCTCAAACAGATCGCAGTCCTGGTCAATTTCGTGCTGCTGGGGAGTGCTATGCAGGGAATTGAAGCTGCCAAAAAACTTTTTTAACCTTTCAAAAAGTTTGGTTTTCTCGAAAGAATTATGACTGTCTAATTTGTTGTCGGATAAAAAACCTTTTCTACAATTGTTCATTTGACAATCTGTACTTGGCCATGAAGCTCTACCTATTATAGGTGTAGGGACACTTAAGTAATGAGAATCTACAGTTACGTCGATTACGTTAACGCTAGATTTCACAGAACAACTTGAGGGATGGGCTAAAAGTTCCTCCAACCGCGATATTTCTTTATCCAAACTTGCTAGCTCACATCTGTAGACTTTGTTTTGGATCTCCAATCTACAGATTTGCTCTCTGGGGTCATCAAAAATAAATCTTCTCGTGTTACTTTCAATTTTAAGACCCATGCTCTGCATTATAGGATCTTCGCAGTCAATCTTCATAAGCACAGCCTTCAGCTTTGGAAGAAACAGAAGGAAGAGCGTTATAGTCGTGGCAATTAAAATGCTACCTGTTTTTGCCAAGTATGCTAGTATGAAATAGTTAGAAATGAAGCTGGAAAGTATCACTATAATGGTACTAAACACAGCACTATATACGCAGATGCCGATGTACTGGGAGTCGTTCAGTGCTGGAACTTTCACGTGTCTGGTTTTCCAAGCCATGAAAACTCCCATTACTAAGATAATGCTTTTATATCCGAAGAGAGCAACGTACCAGCCTACCGTGTTGTGAGAACTGCATACTTCTACCTGTAATAGAAATATGGTATAGACGTTATTTATAATGTTTTTAATAATAACTGTTAATTAGAATACGTTTCAATTGATTTTCAGAACATGTTTTATAACTATTGATTTTATGTTTTTGTAACTAGAGGTATGTAATTTTATTTAATTGATAAATTCAATACGAGAAAATTAAATCAATATAATCGATAACATAAAACTTTTTTAATGGATCATAAATATTTATTAATAAAGGCTAATGTTATAAATAAAATATGCTAAAATCATATATTGTCACTGTCCGCGTTTTTTTTTTTTTCAAGTGTAGCCCCCTTCCACTTGGCTTTGGATTTGGGGGTTATGTTCCTTTATGTAGTAAATAATATACTTAAGTGATCTTTTTTTAAATACTAAAAAGATTGAAATTGCCAATCCCATTGTAAGTTCTACATTATACATTTTCTTGTTGATTTAAGATTGACAATATTGTTATGCAGGCCGCAGCTGAATCTCCCAAGTTGTTTCCAATTCCACGAAATAAAAAATATTCTGTTTACATATTCTACGAATCTCTAAGTTTATCTATTTTATCTTAGCAATAACTAACCCGACCCAATTTTCATTTGCTTTGTTCTGGTACACTTTTTTTATTAGAATTGGAACAATCTAAAATAAAGCGAGACATTTTATTAGATGTATTGAATATCCGCAAATACATAGGCGTCTGGTAAAAAACGATAAATATGAAATAAACCCTTTTAGGTATATTGTTTTTCATAATACTCCAGTCGGCAGAGGCCGAAAAGTTACTGTTGGTGACATTTTCTTGATAACTCGGAAATAACTACATAGGTCTACTTTAAATGATGAGTATAATAACAGGCTAATTTGCTGACAAAGTATTTTATCAGGAAAAAAAGTTATTAACAATTTAATCGTGAAAAAAATTTTTTTTAGTAGTTTTCTTTAAATAACTCAGCGGGATGACTTTGTACGAAAAAATGCTTAGGACATGATTTTGTTCGTAATAAAAATAGCTACAAAATGGCGGTGGTCCGATTACGAAATTTGCAATAACAAAGCCGTGAGATTGAAAAAACGGTATAAAACGCCAATTTTTTTAAGTTGCTGTAAAAATGTCAATTATAAACAAAAAGTGATAAAACTTTCGAAAACTATAGTTCAATATATATACAATAATGACGCTAAAGCCGAAAATCAGGAGAGCAAAACTTTTTGTTCTATAAGGTGTTATACATTCATCGGCATCTGAAACTCGAAACTTTGCCAAATTTGTTCGAAGCTTTGCTGACACTTGAAATTTGGTACACACATAGTGTAAATATGCAGAAACCAAAAGCAATTTGCAAAATTCAAGTATCTTCATTTTTGCAGTTTTGGTAAGGTTTTATACGTCACCCTAGTTTTATACGTCACCGTTTTTTTAATTTTTGGACGTATATTTATGTATATTTATAAAATATTCCATTACGGTAGATTAGCCAGCATAATTACCTACAATTTAAAAAAATATATATTTTCATCGTTTAGATCCTAAGCTACTTAACATTTTGCGCCTGTTAGCCGTAGTCGTACATTATTCAACATATTAACATAAAACAAAATCGTACGTGTGGGGTAAACCTTTAACTTTAAGTAAACAATTGTTTAAATTTACTGTTGCATATTTCTAATAGTATACAAGCGCCGAAGAGCGGAGCTCGCGCTCGAAAATGAAAAGTTAAAGGTTTACCCCACACGTACGATTTTGTTTTATGTTAATATGTTGAATAATGTACGACTACGGCTAACAGGCGCAAAATGTTAAGTAGCTTAGGATCTAAACGATGAAAATATATATTTTTTTAAATTGTAGGTAATTATGCTGGCTAATCTACCGTAATGGAATATTTTATAAATATACATAAATATACGTCCAAAAATTAAAAAAACGGTGACGTATAAAACTAGGGTGACGTATAAAACCTTACCAAAACTGCAAAAATGAAGATACTTGAATTTTGCAAATTGCTTTTGGTTTCTGCATATTTACACTATGTGTGTACCAAATTTCAAGTGTCAGCAAAGCTTCGAACAAATTTGGCAAAGTTTCGAGTTTCAGATGCCGATGAATGTATAACACCTTATAGAACAAAAAGTTTTGCTCTCCTGATTTTCGGCTTTAGCGTCATTATTGTATATATATTGAACTATAGTTTTCGAAAGTTTTATCACTTTTTGTTTATAATTGACATTTTTACAGCAACTTAAAAAAATTGGCGTTTTATACCGTTTTTTCAATCTCACGGCTTTGTTATTGCAAATTTCGTAATCGGACCACCGCCATTTTGTAGCTATTTTTATTACGAACAAAATCATGTCCTAAGCATTTTTTCGTACAAAGTCATCCCGCTGAGTTATTTAAAGAAAACTACTAAAAAAAATTTTTTTCACGATTAAATTGTTAATAACTTTTTTTCCTGATAAAATACTTTGTCAGCAAATTAGCCTGTTATTGTACTCATCATTTAAAGTAGACCTGTGTAATTATTTCCGGGTTATCAAGGTTTGACACACGCCGAACCTCTACCAACTGGACTATAATGCAAATTAACATTAGAAAATACTTCTGTTTTATTGTAAAATGGGGGTAAACGCGTAATAATTATAATTTTTGCACCTAATGAACAGATACTATACTTATATAGGGTGTTTAATCAAGAATGGACACAGCTCAATGGGAAGTTACTGAGATTAAATGGGGACGATTGGGCTAAACAACCTTTTAATGACATTTTAGGTTCGTTCCAACTAAAATTCGGGATGGTTCGGATTCGTAATGAGTCTGCGCATTACAATTTTCGCTCCTACACAAATTCAGAACCGTTAGTAGTTTTCCGTTCGCTGTTCCAACACGATTTTTGAACGAGTTACGAACGGTTCAAACAGTTCTGGGATTTTACAAGAATTTCTAATCCTGAGCATGCGTGGTGGTGCTGCTGGTGGTGTGATGACGTTTATCCACCGCATAGACCTGAAAAATCTGAAAAATAGGTCTATGATCCACCGTTCATCATAATCTAAACTCGACTTCGTGCTTAGCATAGATTACACAGATTGTGCTTAGTTTATTTCACAGACTCTTTTATATGTTTTGTGTCACAGACCTTACAGTTTATTTGCTCGGAAAGTGCTGAAAATGTCCGATTTCGAAGAAATGATGAAATGATGATGAAGAATGACATTTGCATTTTTCTGATTAGTAGTTTCGGTTCTAAAAATATCTAAAAATCGTTCCAACAAAGAACTGAATTCTGAACCGTGTCTAATTTGCGTCTGCGCATTTGCGAAATCTAGAATTAAGTTAGGAACGGTTCTGAATTCTGTGTTGGAACAAACCTATTGTTACTTTTCTATCTACAAAGTTTAAAAGATAAGTACCTATTCGAAATTTGGCAATATTTCGATAATCATTTCAACGAACAAGTGGTAAATTTCAGTATCTAAATTTTAGTAAGTAGTAAGTAATACATATTTTGTACTTTCCATTAGATGAGAACTATTGGTGTGACAACAAATGTACATGTTCTTTACTGATATTTAACAATCCGAGAAAAAAAAAAGTAAAATTGACTTTTTCTGAAGCAAAACATTGGAGAAACTATCACTGATTATACAATCAAGCAAGTACGATTGTATTCCTTTCTTCAGTGCTGATACAAAAAGAAACAACCCCGGGTGACTTTGTAACACATAATCTATTTCAACCAAAGCATGATCTACGAGTATAGGAATTTGCATGCCTCGAAGGTATAACGTAATTCCGTTGATGGGTCACGCAAATATAGCCTGCCAACTCATAGTTATGTAGTTCCGGACCTCTAATGTATGAGATCCATATTCCCATAGGGATTTATCGTTCTGCACCCTACATCTCGGGCTATGGGGTTACGGGGTTATGAACTTATGGTGCAGTGAGTTCATGAACTGAGATATTTTTTAGTCACTTACTACTCAAGTTAATTTGAAATCTCGGAAATCACTTTCTAGAGGAATTTGTTAGGGTCAAATCACGAACCAATTAGGGAATACTGACTTTAGATTAAGATTCTCTGGTCCAAAATAATATATTATGTATAAGGAATACTGGTTGAGTCCAACCCGCTTGTTTTATTGATTTTGTTAACAATAGTGACATGTCATTCATATAAATAAATTACTTAAATACTGTAAATACATTCGGCATTTTGATTTCATTACATCTGACACTAAATTGAGCACTAGGAAATCTTCAACAGTATCTTCTCACGTAACACCCACTAAATACCATACATTCTCCCGCACAAAAATTTTAAATAAACAGAGGTTTAAACACAATGTAGTAGTACTAACTTCGCCAAGAACTATTGAAGAAAAGACATGATTAATATAGTGGTCTAGGAATCGAAACGATGTAGGATTATTAGGGAATTTGAAAACTATAAAGAAACATAACTATTCAGGTAAACATGATGGTATAGCTCCAATTACTGCCAAAACTTCCATCTGACTTGGGCGAAAGAAAGAACACTTGTCGTCAGAATACGTATTTTATTACCAGCAGACGTGGCTGAAGAAGTGAGAGCCGACGTAGCACACATTCTACAGACTGCTAAACCTCCAATCCAACCTGAACGAGAAGTAGATTTAAGCTCTTAACGAGCTTTAGAAGAATGAAGCAATAGCAATACTGCCTGCCAATACAAGGGGAACGCAACAGTCGTACCGAACACCATTGACTACATCGCCAAAGTGGAAAGCCTCTTTTTGGATTCCATTTACAAGAACCTCCCAAACAACGCAGTCAAGAAAGTTGAGAAGAAGGTAACCGCTGCAGTCCGATCCTCAAACATACACAAGGAACTTCACAGGAGTTTGATCTAAACCGACTCAAGGACACCTCAAGCTTTGGTTTGTTTAAACTGTGCGTCGCAGACGACATACGCAGTTAGCAGAATCTGTAGCATTCAACTTTATCGGTTTTG